CTTTCGGGTCCCAAATGGCTCCTCAGATTATTTATTTTATTTTTTTATTTATTTTTGTTTTACAAATAACATGTTTTCAGAGTTTGAAACATTGTTTTGACATATTTTATATGATTGTGTTCTCAAGGTTTTCTATTGTTGTGTTGACTGTATAGTAAATGAGGCAGCTACCTCAGTACACTCCAGAGTTTAAAATAAATAAATAAATAAAAACCTCAGCCTCGGATTCTTAAAGAAGCTATGATTTGAAATACACATTTTTTATTTAAAAGACAAATGATAAAATATTGATATCGGTATCTGCGATACCAGCCCGAATTTTACTCGGTATCGGATCGGAAAGGAAATTGGTGGTATCGAACATCACTACTGTTAAGTTTCTGTATTATTTATGTTCCACAAGTATATCAGGGGAGAGCGCGGACGCAGTCCCCCACTACCAGAAATTATGCAGTCGAGATTCCCACATTTGGGGAATTCGCAGGGGTCAGCACAGCCGGAGTGCAATGGCTAAGCCTCGCCCTGGGTGAACCACCTTCTTGATCATGGTATCTCCCCTGCCAGGTAAGTATGAGTTGTACACGGGTTACACTGCCAACCCATACACTCGGAAACCCTTCTTACTGATGGTGCTACCACCTGGAAACGCATTCAAACAAAGCACATTCAAGCACTACCACACCAATGTTATAATTTATAACAAAACATAAAATAAAAACACACACACACACACACACATATATATACAGAGAACGTAGTATGTTTAAAATGGAAAAAAGGAGGATTATTATTATGGAGGATTAAAAGAGCCACACTTTTAATAAGCAGAGTACAGTCTCGTGTTCTACATCAACTACACAGACAAAACACTTATATTCATTAGAACGAGCGGATAGTGAAATTTTTTCTGACCTGTTATAGGTTAACAACGTCACTATTGCTGAAACAACTCAGTTGGATACTTATATTTCACAATTTTAGGGGGTGCACCGTTCCTGGAGGTACTGCAATACCAGGTCGATACGCGGAGTGGACGGAGCAAGCCCCTATTCCATCTCCCAGATCCAAAAATCAATTTAATATATGGTCCCCGGGTAGGGGACGTATCAGATATTAAACTGATAAGAACAGATACTACACTTGATCTTAGCCAAAAGGCCGAGAAGCGATAACGACACACCCCTGCTCTACGCTCATACTCTCCCTCAATGTCGTTTTAAGTCATGGGTCAAATGTTTAAACGTTAGATAAAACTTAACCGTAGAATTAGCGGAGCCACATGTACAATTAATGACTAAAAAAGGATCCGCTATAAACATAGATAAAACTTAACCGTATAATGATCGAAGCTACAGGAACAACTGACGACTAACTCAAATAGGAGCCGCTGTAAACATACGTAGACAAAAACATTTCACGTTGCCAAATCGTGTCAGTTGTTGTAAAATACTAGATCCCTATCCATTCCAAAAAGTTGAGGACCGATGCTTACGATTACAAGTATAAATGCTCTGTCTCGTTCGTGCACCCGGAGGTAATTATAGACCAAAACACAATATATGTACGTCACAACAATACCGCAACAGTACACAAACTGTGCAAGTTTAATGTTAATACTTCGTCCAGTGACAAAGTCAAATGCAGCATTGGGCCCCTCTGCTGGTTCACTATTGTAACTGCACCACAGCGCATGATCACATGGACTGCTGTTAAGTAGTGATGTGCGGATCGATCCTGAAATATCGATACTTCCGATTCTGGATCTTTATGCTCTGAAATCGATTCTGAAATCAAAATATCGATACTTTTGATACTTACGCATTCTGAGATGAGGTGTATCCTAAACAGAAACATGGTGAAAAGTATCCAAATTATTGAGATGTTGTCTAAGTGACGCTCGGTTGGTGGGACTACTTCTTCTTCCGCCTGGGTGTGTGCGTCATGCTTAAGCACAGGGGCTCTACTCCGTGCTCTCACTCAGTCACTATTGATGGGAATTTCGGCTCTTTTTTGGAGAACCGGTTCTTTTGGCTCGGTTCACTGAAAAAATCCGACTCTTTCGGGTCCCAAATGGCTCCTCAGATTATTTATTTTATTTTTTTATTTATTTTTGTTTTACAAATAACATGTTTTCAGAGTTTGAAACATTGTTTTGACATATTTTATATGATTGTGTTCTCAAGGTTTTCTATTGTTGTGTTGACTGTATAGTAAATGAGGCAGCTACCTCAGTACACTCCAGAGTTTAAAATAAATAAATAAATAAAAACCTCAGCCTCGGATTCTTAAAGAAGCTATGATTTGAAATACACATTTTTTATTTAAAAGACAAATGATAAAATATTGATATCGGTATCTGCGATACCAGCCCGAATTTTACTCGGTATCGGATCGGAAAGGAAATTGGTGGTATCGAACATCACTACTGTTAAGTTTCTGTATTATTTATGTTCCACAAGTATATCAGGGGAGAGCGCGGACGCAGTCCCCCACTACCAGAAATTATGCAGTCGAGATTCCCACATTTGGGGAATTCGCAGGGGTCAGCACAGCCGGAGTGCAATGGCTAAGCCTCGCCCTGGGTGAACCACCTTCTTGATCATGGTATCTCCCCTGCCAGGTAAGTATGAGTTGTACACGGTTCACCCTGACAACTCTTACACTCACAAACCCTTCTTAGTCATGGTCCTACCACCTACAAACTCACTCAAACACAGTCCATTCAGGAGCTGCAGGACTCTACATCAAACCACCGTTAACATTTGTCACAATACATGAAATACAAACATATTTACACTTTATCATGAACAGTCAGCTTTCCCATGATGCACTGCAGCACTTACGTATGAATGCCAGACTAAAAACTATTTCTATCACTGTAACAGTGTGTATTAGCGCTGCAGATCGATCGGCTGTTAACCAAAGAATCGCTAGTTAGCCATCCTATATGCGATTTTTAATGGTGCTGTTATCAACACTTTTAATTCCTGAATAAATACACTAAAACCTAAACACCCTCCCCCATATAAAGAATTCAAAAGATCAGCTTCCTGTTTCCCCGTCTGTGCTGCACGTGAGTCACACAGAACACTGCCATCAAGTGGCCTGGCGTGCGAAGCGCAGCAGCGCAAGGAGATGGCTCTTGAAAAGGACAGATAGTTAAAAATAATTTTATTTCCCGGCGGGTGGGGGGTGCACTTGTACAGACCCACAGTTAGCGCCGATGTTTATGATTTCAAGTATAAATTCTCTGTCACGTCCGTGGTCCCATGCACCTGGAGGTATTTGTACACCAAATAAACAATATATGTACGTTACCAGAGTTATGTCACAAATCCACCACACACTACACAGACCGTGCGAGTTCAATGTTTAATAATATACCACGCAAAAAAAAAAGCTTTTTGCGACGTCCAGTGATAAAGTCAAAAGTAGCTTTGGCCCCCTCTGCTGACCACACATACACACGCACGCACGCACTGCAAATTGACTGGGCAGGGTGTAAAAGTTTAACGCCAACTCGGTGAACTATAAGCTATACTATATTGGACCAGAATGCGCTAAACTACTGTCAAAGTTCATGTAAAAAAAAGTTATATGCTAACATAGCACGCTCTATGCTCTCGGTGTGACCGTTAAACGTCCACAACCTGAAGCTAAAATACAGTGTCCAATTAGCTATTTATTGCAAGTAGCTGCGTCATATGGATATACCAAGAGTACACAATAATAGAGCTCGTCAGTTCGTCGACATTGTCGACGAAACATTAAACGTAGAACCACAACTTGTTTACCACATGCTGCGAATTAAAAGCTTGCCAAAAAAAATATCTTAAGTAATACCTGCTGGCGACCATTTAGCTTACTCGAAAACATGACAGAAATATTGACACAAACAGCAAACATAGCAGTCTTGCAGTGAAGAGACAGCAGAAAAACTCGATGTAACTTACTTTTATGACGCGTTTGACCATTTTTATCTGAAATTAGGCATTATCTCCTTCCATTTAGAGTTCAAAGTGAAAAATGGCGGCAGAACGTACTCCACAGCTCCCCTACAGGATGTGGATGGTTTCTTCATCCGGTCCTTGTGTTTCTTTTCAATAAAACAATTGGTGGTCCAAAATGACTTGGACCATTGCTTAAATGTGTTTATTTTTAACTAAAAAGAAAAAGTTTGGGGAAAAAATTCCAGCTGCCTTTTAGTATTTTCTGACTCAATTGTTGGTAACCCTACTCCCAACATTTTTAGTGAATTTATCCACCGTGGCGAATAAAGGACTTTTATGTTTTCCAATTCAGTTTAAATATTTTATTCAACAATTCCTCCAGTGTGGACTCAATTAAGTTCAATCTAATCTAATCCTGTTTTATTTATTTATTCGCAGTTTATCGTCTAAATTGTATCATATCCTTGTGCCACTGCACTCCAATTCATTTCAATGAATACTTCTATCAAAATTACATTGTTTTTCTATTCTAAATCATGTTTTTTTTCTATATTTGTTTAATACTGTAAATTATCACCGCTGATCAGGTAATCTAATGTAATCCAAAACAGTGTCTGAGAGTATGTGGCAGAAGAGGGCCAATAACAGGACAAAAAGGAGTGTGTGTAAGAGGGAGAGAGCGAGGGGGATACAGAGGGGGGCAGGTATTTTCAATAACAAGTGATCAGACGCTGATTTAAAAAAAAAAACTAGTGTTCGCGTGCTTATGCAACCGTAGTCGTTATTAAACAGTCACCAGTCAGTCTTGTACACGCTGATATATTACAGTTTCTGGACTCTGGACAATGCAGGTGATGTATTAATGTCGGTTTGATCCGCTCTGTGAAGCTCATCTGTGGACAGATAACCCTTTCACCAGTTAACGTTTCTTCAGGTCTTCAGACTGTGTAGTTTTTGCTCTGCTTTGTTTCCCCTCCACACTGCATCCTCCATCGGTGAGTTTCTGGCTCACAGACCAGAGAAGACCCCTCGGTTCTGTGTATTTATATATATATCGACGGACTTATTCCCACCTAAAATGAACTTCGACCAGATCCTCTCAGCAATCGGAGGCTTTGGCAAATATCAGAAAACCCTGTACGTGTGGATATGTTTGCCCCAGATCCTGCTCGCCTTCCACATGATGGCGAGCATCTTCACCGGAGCCACGCCAGCGCATCACTGCCGGAGCAGTCACAGATCTTTGGCCGCGAATCAGTCGTGGTTTCCAGATTCACTTCAGCCGAACTTCAGCCTGTCCGACCGCTCGTGCTCCTCCGCCGACGGTCTGCTGCAACAGCTGCGGGGCAACAGGACTGAGCGCGTCCCCTGCGTCCACGGCTGGGTGTACAGCCGGGAGATCTTCCAGAGCACCACTGTCACCGAGGTACACTTTAAATACATTTTTTACAAAGAGCATCTAAGTTACACAAGGGGACTTATCTATGGTTCCTGTAGAGACGTCGTTGAAGATTCCACTTTACTCCACGCAGTATAGCCTACTGTCAGTACTTATGGTAGTATCTGCCCTGTCAGAATCAACTTTATGGTGGGTTTGAGCAATGCCTCAGTCGGCAGAGATAAATATACGGAGATGAAGGGTCAAAATGCTTTGCATGATTTGAAGGAGTGTTTTGCTATTAATATGTTTTGTTGTTTTTCTACCCATCAGTGGGACTTGGTATGCGACCAAGCGGGACTGAACAGCCTGGGTTCGTCCATCTACATGTTTGGCCTTTTAGTGGGGGCGGTGGTGTTTGGCGCCATGGCTGACAGGTAAACGACCTCACACCTGTGACCTCTCTCACACTCACATACAGCCAGATTATTACACCTCTCCTTTAGTAGCGATAACTGTGGATTTGTAGAGAAACGAGGGCTAGGCAATGGCCCCAACTACAATATAACGATGTCCGATAATTTCAGTCAACCACTATTATTACCCCGATATTAACATAATTGTGTAATACCTGTAAGAACCGTTAGAGGATTTTGCCTGGATTTCACCAAATATGTCGGAATCGCTTGTGGGGTCCAGAGACGCTTAGCGGCAGTTTTGGGGGGAAGAAAACGGCTGCATAGCAGTATTGGTCGATATCGAAATTGGAAATGAAATGTATGGACAATATCGGCATGTCAGATATCGGCAAAAAAAAAAAATCAGGCATTCCTAGTTGAAACAAAGGTATTCTTTGAGTTAACGTGTTGAGATATAACCTAAAGTCAGGCTCTACGTTCACGGTCCTATTGTCGAAGTTCTTAGATTTTGGCTTCGCTCTCCGACTGTTTCAGCTCCACCTACATTTATTCAAAGAAGACACCGCGTCTAATTTGTCCCCTTCCATTACCAGGTACGGCAGACGATTCGTCCTGCTCCTGTCCATCGCTGTTCAGACGGTGTTTGGAGTCGCCGTGGCCTTTGCACCGAACTTCCTCGTCTACGCGGCTCTGCGCTTTGTCGTTGGCGCCTCGATATCTGGAATCATCATCAATGCCTTCGTTCTTGGTAACCTTGCTCAGCGAACACTCTCGCACAGACACACACAAACACACACTTATATACAGTACGCATGCTTTTCTAAAATATATATATATTTACATTAATTAAATATTTTACACTGGTATTATGTGAATGCAGAATGCATTCCAATTTTGAAAGGATCTTGTTTTGGGCTTTTCTTAAAGAAACCTGTATTACTACCTGTAATATTGTACTACCCTCCCCTCCCCTCCCCTCTCCTCACCCTCCTAAGGAACTGAATGGACGTGCACTAAGAGGCGGATGTTGGCTGGTATCACCACAGACTTTGCCTTCGGTCTGGGCTACATGCTGCTTGCAGGTGTAGCCTACCTGATAAGGGACTGGAGAAGGTTGCAGCTGGCTATATCAGTCCCGGGGTTCCTCCTCATCTTCTACATATGGTGGGAGATCAGAGAGCGGCCCGACCAATAGCCCCATACGTTGTGTTTGTACATTACTTAGATGTAAATATATATATCGTCCTCTTCCCCCTCCTCTGTGTTCTCTGCCAGGGTGGTCCCTCACTCTGCTAGATGGCTGTTAGCCAACAACAGAAGAGAGGAAGCCATTGCTCTTCTCCGCAAGGCAGCACATACGAATGGCCGAGCTTTACCTTCAACTTCACTAGTGAGCCCAAGTATTTCATTACGCATATACCTATGCTACTATGCTGTATTTTTTTTTCTTCAACTCTATGACCTGTAAAAAAAGTTACCAGAAAATTTGCAATCCATTCTTGTGGAAAAAATAAGATTTTTTTTAATGTAGGGAGCAGGGAACATAATTGATCAATGTATTTCATTAAAAAAAGGTATTTGATTTTTTATTATTATTATCGTTATTATGATTATTATTTTTTATTTAAAAATATTATTATTTTTATTTTAAAAATTATTATTATTAGTAATTATTATTATTATTATTACTAATAATAATTAATAATAATAATTATTATTAGTAGTAGTAGTATTATTGCAGTGATAAAAATACTGTATTGCATCTGCACTCTGGCTAACCGTGCTAACTACAATTGTATGCATGAAGTTATTGAGTTAGTAAGTCACATAGTAAGTACTTAAGTATTAGTAAGGTACTACAGTAAACAATAAAAAGAGTAACAACTTACATACGTCTTTATCTGTTTGTGCGTCAGATTGAGAAGTGTGAGATTTTAGGTGAAGAAAAGCAAAATCGCTCCGTGGTGGCTCTCATTCGTACGCCCCAAATGAGAAAGCGGGCGATTATTTTGTTCTACATTTGGTAATTCTTGTTCACTTTTTTTATTTTACCACTACGGCTATTACAAACTTCTTTTGCTCCGGCCGTGTCTTTGAAACTGTTTCTGTTTTTCTATTGACAGGTTTGTGAATGTGCTGGTGTACTACGGCCTCTCGCTGGGCGTGTCCAGATTAGGGACTAACCTCTATCTGACCCAGTTCATATTCGGGTTGGTCGAAATCCCGGCTCGTTCGTTGGTCCTGCTCAGTCTTCCATTCAGTCGCAGACTCACGCAGAGCGGCTTCCTGGCGGTGGGAGGCCTAGCCTGCCTGCTAATGCTAACCATCCCTGCAAGTATGAAGAGCGAATAATGCATATTGAATGTATATTGTGGAAAACTCGTAATTATTTTTAGTCATGCATAAAGGCTAAAATACTAAAATGCTTTTAGCCTTTTCAACGCCATCTATTGGGGAAATGAAGTAAAATCATAATATAAATTAATAATATAATTTGGACAAGTTTGGCGGGCCGAATTAAAAAGTCAAACGGGCAGTATCTGGCCCCCGAGCCATAGTTTGCCCATGACTGGATTAGACTGTCATTATATATCATTATTTCCCTGACTCCAGATCATCCTAATGTCTATGCCGGACTCGCCATGGTCGGGAAGTTTGGAATAACCGCCTCTTTCACTGCGATTTACGTCTACACTGCAGAAATATTTCCCACCGTCTTACGGTAGGACATGTTTACTTTTAAAATATATAAATAAATATATTTATTCAAAAAGATCTCGAAATCTTCTTATTCTTTTTTCACCAAAGGCAAACAGGAATAGGCGTCTCCTCTATGTTTGCTCGCGTGGGTGGCGTGTTAGCGCCCATCATCAATATGCTACATACCCAAAGCCCGCTTACACCCCTGGTCATCTTTGGGATGTCGCCGCTGCTGGGCGCTGTCTTGGCTTTGGCTCTGCCAGAAACGGCAAACCGACCTCTGCCGGACACGGTGGAGGATGTGGAAAACTGGGACAAGAGGTACTGTGACCAAAAAGTTTAACCTAAAAATGTAACTGAAACTGGACATGTTGATTTTATTAAAAAGTTTTAATCGAGTTATAGCTGTATGTGTTCTGCTGAATCGACCGAGTTCACGAAGGAAAATTAGAGCAAGGGTTCTCAACCCACGGCCCGGGGACCGGTGGCAGTCCGTAGGTCATTTGGTTCTGGGCCGCAGTGGGACAGTCATATCCCTTTACTTTTTTCATTCAAAGATAATACGTCAAAACAACAGGTCATTTTGACTCTAGTACTAACAAAATAAAGTGGTTTTATTTTGAAAATCTAATTATCCTCCAGACTCAGGTGTAAAGTGTGTCAGCTGGTACACATGTTGTTTTTTTGCCCACACTGTAGGGGCTTGTAACACCATCTCAATGCCCGGCATGAGTTTGTGTGTGGAGGCCTCACATTCACAGTCAGACAGCTGGCCTGCGTCAGACTAGTCTTACGCACTACAGCGCAGGGCAGAGGGTTAATCTGTGATTGACAAGCCGACTGTGTATATTCTTAAAACGTCATAATTACTTGTTCCCATGTAACAACTGTACCCACTCACTGGGTACTTCATGTTGTGTCTCCTCCAGGTCTCCTTCCAAACAGGACAACCCTGAGATGTTTAACCAGCTAGCCACCAACGCAGAGGAGCAAGAGCTACAACGACAGGCAGTGACTGTTTAAGCCAGGCATGAGCAAACTACGGCCCGCGGGTTGAGGGTTTGAAGGGCCGGATGCGGTCCGTTTGGCTTTTTAATGTGGCCCAACACAAACTAATCCAAATTATGTTATTAATTCATATTATCATTATAATTATGCCTTTTCCCTGCAATGCCAGCATTCCCCCAATAGAGGGCGTAGAAAAGGCACAAACCATTTATTTAGCCTTTATGCATGCATTTACATGTCATTTATCTTAAGTCACATGAACGCTAGGACCCATTGTGGTCCACGAGTTAAAAAGTTCCTGGATTAGGCTAACTAACCAATAGTGTTACACGATTCACCTGTTATGCAGGAATAAAATTTGAGCCCGGATTGAGGGTTTGAGACGTTCTCTAGAATAGAAGGTCAGGATCTGATGAAACGAAAAGCAAATCTATGTCAGCTCAAGTGGATGCAATGAACTAGGTTTAGGTCTTTTATATGTATTTACAATGTAATGTAGTTTTTGAAAGCATGTTGATCATTGAAGGAACATTTCGTCCCATATATTTTAATATGGGCTCCTCTGACTGTTCACGTATTCTCCGTAAGTTTTTACTGCAATTTTTTTCAATTTTGTACACATTTGTGTTCAAGATTTTTTCCATAGACTGGCTGTAGCATTTTTATGATGTCTTTAAGAAGCAACTTATTCTCGTACTAAATCTTAATGCTCTCAAGATGACCGAATTAGCACAAGTTAGCTAAGACAAACCAGTACTTAAAATGTCTAATTTTAGACTTTGCCTGTAGCACTTTTTACTGTAATTGTACTTTTTACATAGAAAATATTAATATTGTTTGGCATTAACAAAGTGATAGTTGGAATGTATGGAAAATATTACGTGTTGGAAACAAAACTGCACGAGTCAACGTTCAAAATTTCGTAACGGGGTTTAAGGGAGGTATGAATGCAAACGATGGGGTATGTACTTCATTGCACGATATAATAGAATGCATGCCTTAATACAACATGTGGGTATGTTACTTGTACTCCATCAGTGATGTCACTCAGGTAAGCTAATACTTTTTAATAAGTATAATTAGCTAATATTTTTTATTGCAATTTTTCCATAGTGCAGTCACAGTTTTGGCAAATTTCAACGAAAGAAAAAAAAACAAATGGAACTTTGTCACTAGAATGTACTTTGTGCAAATGAAACCAAGTTGCCGTTTCTGCCGTTTCAGCAATACAGGTGTCAACAAGTTCAAAAGATCGAAGTGTGATATGTGTAATTTGTACAACACGCCGCTAGGATGTTTTCGGAACGGCGGGCACGAATTTGGCGTCATCTATGATAGCTAGTGCTACCGAAATCAACGTCATTTAACGCATAGGCACAAGACGCGCACTGTGTATCCAATCATTCCACCGTCCGTCTACGTATCGTCGCTCTAACATACATGTTATTTGCACACGCTGTGATAAAGCTAAAGTTTGACTTGTACGTTTGCACAAGCCGATATTTATCTGTATTTACAATTCCATCACGTAGGCATTGTCTCACTGTTCCAGCAACGTACAAAACAAAATATTTCTCTCAGCCACCCTGACGCCGCACGTCAGCTGACCTATGCCAGGGTGACATACGTGGCGTCAGTGGCCACGCCACAGTTGTTATCCTTCATAGACATGAGAACGTAGCCACTGTTGCCCCAGTACGTGGACCACGAGTTCTTTATCAACCAGTACGGCTCCCCATTCAGGGTCCCATAACCCACGGCGAGCACAGCGTGGTCCAAATCGTCGGTAGTGTTACCTGAGGAGCAACAGATGAGACTTTATGTACAGAGCAGGTTTCGGATTAATCGCAGTCTGAGCAGAGGGTAGAGGCAAACGTACCACAGGCGGGTTCGTAGTAAACGCCGTGGCTGTAGAAAACGAAGGATCTGTGTGAGGCGTCTATGCTAACGGCCACCGGTCCGTTCTTGTAGAGGGCCAGCTTGAGGGCCTCGGCATCCCCCGACGTGACGTTTGTGTAACTTTGTACGCGTGCCGTGAGCTGGGACGAGTTCAGATGGCAGAAGCCGTTCTGTTCGGGGATTGGGTGAGAGTTAAACACACAATGATTCTTACTGAAACAAAAAAACAAAAAAAATTAACTGTCTAGTTCAGGGTTGTCAAACATAGGGCACGCGGGCCAAAACTGGCCCACTAAGGGGTTCAATAAGGCCCACTTGATGAATTTTGAAAGTGAAAAAAAAAAAGCTCAAACACTTCATATCAGTGATGGTTTTTCAATTGATAGTTAAATAATATGAATATTTTTAAATTATCTTGTGCTTACCTGCATGAAAACAAAGAAAAAACATGGACTTATTGTTATTTACAAGTAATTGTTATGATGGTACTGGTCATATATTTATTCAAAAAATTTGCTGTGGACATAAAATTTGTGTCTGCATCTTCAATTTCATTTTTTTTTTGTCAGTTTAAAATTGTCCACTCACCATTCCCATGTACGCTCCATACGTCTCAGTCGTGGCTATGCCGCCGTGTTTCATGATCCACTCGTACGCTCTCCACTCCTCTCCTCCGTCGCAGCCGTTGTTGCCAAAACCCCAGGAGCAGTCCACCAGCATCTGCTGAGACAGAACCTGCAGGGAGCCCGTCTGAAAGAAGAGAGGAAGTGAGATCAATGTCAAAACACTGGTTGTGAACTGGACACTATTGGAATTCAGGTCCGGGCAAAAAAAAAAAACAGTTCCATTAGTTATTTATTATCAATACTTTTCAGGAGGAAATTTGGAGACTTTTCAACATAACATATCAACCGATACAGATAAGGGCCTGGTAATATTTATTTATATATTTATCCGTACAAACCACTGTATGAGTTGCTGGCATCAGTATATTGCAAAAACAAAACAAAACAAAAAAAAAACAAACAAAAAAAATCCCCTGATTATTAAAAGAAATTAAATAAATTAGCTGCAATGCTGCCATCTAGTGACATTTACTACAATATGCAGCTGTTTATCCCCATAACTATTTTTAGGGCACACATCATTTGGTGAAACCCAGGCGTTGCGTTATCGGGTTTTCATTATCGGAGGAATAATATCGACCGATAATATCGGTCTGCTGACATTATCGAACATCTCTAGAAAAGATAAAAACAATAATGTAGTGGAAAAATGACTGGCTTACATGTACATATACAGTTTATACATATATGAAGCCTTTTACTACTAACCGTAAAGGGCTATGCATGGCCAAAAAAAAGTTAGGAACCACTGGTGTAAATAAATAAATACTTAAGCAATTACAATACTTAAGGTGAGAAAATGTGTTTATACTTTCTATATTTTGAAAAAAACAAAACAAAACAAAAAAAAACTTTCTTTCCTATAACAGGAATACGATTCTCCCCATCATTTTGCGTGAGAACGAGTCAAAGAATTTGCTAACCGTCACATCCCATAGCACATGTCCCGGAGACTGCATGGAGTTGCTTTGCAACAAGAATAAAGGCGTCCTTTTGAGTTTTGTCTTTCTAAAGGCCCGGAGGCCGACACAGCCACTCACGCAGTCAAATTTAGGTGACGTCGGCACAATAGGTTCTGTTGAGGGAGCCAGCCTGTGCTGACCAGCAGGGGTGTTTTATTGAAATTTTATGGACAAATGAATAATGCATAACATAACATTCCAGAAAATGTTAAAAAAAAAAAAAAAAAAAAATCGCCTGAGGAGACATTAGATATGATTTACCTAAATGTAGATGAATGGACAAATCCAGATTAAACTAATGTATTTACTAGCGCAATCCATGTGTTACTTTTGTCTTGTGTCAAGAAACTTATTTATTTATTCATTCATCCTCTGCAGCTTTATCTTCAGAGGCGTGGGGCCAGGGGGACGTTGCATAGAAACCGTAGTAAAAAAAGAGTGAACCTATTAGCACAGTACAACGACGGGCAAACTCCTCACAGAAAGACAATCTGACCGAGGTAGGACATGAATGAGTGGTGGGACATGAGTGCAAAACAACACACAACAACTCTCTAACTCCCTAACCGTCAAGATGCAGAGCAATGACAAAATGTTGCATGTTTTCCTCCATGTTTTTCCTATATTACTAATTCACTCATTTTGATTAGTCACAAAGATTTCTCTCCCCCCCCATCTTGAATAATCATGATTAATCAGAATTGAATAATGTAATCGACTGACAGCCTTATTAATAATAGACCTAGGAAGCAAATTAATTAAAAATAAATTCCCATAGTGGCCACTAGGGGGTCGAGGGAAATATCTAGTTAGACCTTTAATTTCAGAACATTAAATTAATGCCAGTGGTTGAAATCTAATTGCAATCAGTTTTTTTCACCTTTAGGAAAAGTGCGCCCTCTACTGCTCCAGTGGTGGCAAAACTCCAGCAGGAACCGCATATGGCTTGATCCTTCACTGGTGTCACAGCACCTTAAAAGAAAAGCTAACGTCAGACGAGCAGCCAGGCGGACGAAATTTACGATGTTTGTTCCAAGTTTGTGAAGAAATCCGTACCGTAAAGTCTCCAGTCCAGTGACTCTGGCACTTTCACTCCTTCGAAACTCTCGGCGGGGAAAGGACGGCCTCCGTTGGGAGTCTTTCCTCTTCTCCTTCCTCTCATGGTGGCCAGCTCTGACATAGTACGGTCCGACAGGGAGTTCAGAGCCAGGGAGAACGGCAGCCCTGCTCTGTTCTTTGAGTGGACATACCTGAAGTAGTACACTGTGTTAGACTATGTAAAAAATCTGCGATAACTCCAATGCACTTTGAGAAAAGATTAAGGATGTCCGATAACCTTTTGCCGATATCCGACATGTCTGGAAATAATTATTACAATACAATATACAATAGATGCTTATTAAAATAGATTAATTAAATGAGCTGTAATGCTGCCATCTAGTGACTTTTACTTTAATATACAGTTGTTTATGCCCAGAACTTTTTTTAGGGCACGTCATTTGGCGAAACCCAGACATTGCGTTCTCAGGTTTTCCTTAAAAAAAACGCTAACGATTCTTACAGATATTACATAATTATGCTAATATCGGACAGCTGATATTATCGGACATCCCTGGAAAAGCAATAATGTAGTAAAACAGTGACAGGCTTTGCAGCATTAGCTACTCACCTAAGGTTATGGACAAAAGCGTGCTCCCTCTTCTCATGCTCTCTTTCATCAGCGTAGTGACGCTGAAACTTGTCTTTGAAATAACCGAACATGCGCTGAGAGTGGCCCGCGGCCGAGGTGTGGATCAGATCTTTCATTGGATTCGCCAAGATATGGTGCTCTACTCCAGGACCAGGAAATCCACCGCAGCTCATCCCTGTGACAGAGCCATTGACGTCAATGTGTTGACGTCACAAGTCGTATTTACCCCGACAGTGTTTTCCCCAGGTAAAACGTCTACAGACTACAGTAGGATCCACAAACCTTCAGGCAGGGAAAAGGCTTTAGGGTCCACAGAGGTGCTGAACTCCGTGTAGTCCACCAAGTATTTATCGTAGTGAGACCCCAGCAGTGTGTTGTATCCCATCATCTCATAGTGGAGAGGTGTGGCAGGATCCTTTGTACCGGCGTCTCCCTCTGAATGGGTCACCCACAGTGTGTACGTGTTCTTCTTGTAACCCACAGTGGTCACATTCTGCCAAACCTCACACAGGGAACCGGCGTAGTACTCTATCCTGAGGAACTGCAAGGAGAAATACATGTCACAATTTCAGGGAATTCACCAATCTTAGCTTGTGAATCCTGTATTTACTCGCTAGCTTAATATATTTATAGTGAAAAATGTAGTCTATATATACACACACAATAGGCAGCCAGAGAGCCTTTTGTTCATTGTTGTTAATTGTCCAAAATGTAGAGATGAATGTAGTGGCCCCATGAAGGAGTTGCTGCCCCCTAGTGGCTGGAGGCTTGTTATCATTCAAGCATTACAGCAGTGGTATATTTATATCCAGCGTGCCATATTCCATCGGAAGCCTCTCACGCCCCTCCCCCCCGCCGGCTCCTCACTGTGCCCCGCATGAGGGGCCCCGCCCCACCATTTGAGAACTATTGATTTAAGGCAACATCACTTTGATAGACTGATGAATGCTCCACAAACGAACCTGAAAGCCTTGCAAATCTGGCAGCGACGCCTGTGGCGTGATGCTCTCATTCCTTGTCCCATTGACCTGGAAGCACTTCATCGCATTTACTTCCACCTCCGTCGTCTCCGGAGTGATTTTATAGGCGACACCCCACTGCTGCTGTGCCCCCAACTGATATGTTGACACCTGACCTGGACAGTGATTAAAACAAGGGATGGTTCAGTCCATAGATAAATAGCTAGCCAGCTAGCTAACTAGATAGAGAGAGAGAGAGAGAGAGCAAGCAACAAAGACTACTAAAAGAACAACCCAAAGGATAATGTTTGATAGGAATGAACTAAGCATCTTAATAATAATGAACAACCCAAAGGATAATGTTTGATAGAAATGAACTCAGCATCTTAAATCCTGAATGACAAGGGTAAAATTAAAAAAAGTTATATTTACAGACTTTATTGACTTTGTAAATGTCCACGTGTGCACTAATGGACAATTTACCACCAATCATGCAACCTAAGAAAAGACGTAGCAAAAAAAAAAAAAAAACAGGTCCAAAGTCTGAGAACTATCTCCCATGAATTCTATCAACCAAAGTGCTTATTTGGTCCTTTTTGCTTCCTCGCCGACATAACACGTGATTTTCATCCACCTCACTTGACACAAGAGTTCTCAGTTTCACATCACTAACCCAAGCACAGGGGAAAAACGCAGAGTCAGGTTACACAGAAACAGTGGTGGGTACTGATATTTCTTACCATGGTAGTAGTCTATTCTGCTGGACTTTGCTTTCAGATCAAACCACGCCTCAAACGGTTCCTTAATCTCAGCATAGGGTAGCGAAATCATCCCTGCAGCAGTGAGATTACATATTTAACTAACGAGGGTCACTTCTGGGAGAAATGAGATAAACACAAGTGCGTTGTCGTTTACCTTTGACATGATAGCTGGTCCCAAAATCTGGAAGGGAGGGGACGGCTTTTCCCTCTGCAGCTGAAAAAGTGAAAATACAGGGAAAATTGATTGCCACTTTCAATAGTTGCCACTGTGTGTGTGTCAACATAAAACTTAATTTTAACTGCAAATTATGTCAAGATGAAGTATTAAAAAAACTGCTTAATGCCACAACTTTATATAAATGTATATTGTATATTATATATTTATGCATCTAAATTAGACTCTTGCTTATGTCCCCTTGACATATATAAATACAGTTGTCAGTAAAATCTATAAATTTGGTACAAAAACAAAATTAGGGCGAAGGAGAAGAAGTATCGACTCCCATAGTCGATACTTATTGAATAATTGGTTGCCCGCCATAGACTTTTGTGCTAACGTCAATTAAATAATAGTCACTTTTCTTCGTTTTTTTTAAAAAAAAAGACGAATACATGTATTTACTGTGTTCTGGCACAGCTTAATGCAAGAAAAACTACAGACTTTGTTGTTATTTTGGACAAATATATCGTCTTTATCGTATTAAATCAGCTATAATTATCTCTACAAGACGATAGTTTTAAATAGAGAGTGAGGCAGACGTGTTTAACTCTATTGTTAAACCACAAAAGCCCCCGTTATTAAGCCCCCGCCGGTTTCCTGAAAACAAACAAACGGGTAAACAAAGCGTTGCTTCTTACCTACAACAGTCCACAAAACAACAACGGCGGCGACACAGCCCGACATTGTTTTAATTTAGGGTCTCTGAATGTCAGAAGGAACGGAAGTGACTAAAAATCACACAAAAACCCATACACATAGCTTTGCAAAAACACCGAGCGGAGGCTACTAACGTGTGATACGTTAGTAGCCTCCGCTCTCAGCCTATTAAAGCGCAATGTGCATGACCGTTGGCCAATCAAATTAGACAGGCGGGATTTAGCCGCGAGAACACCACGTGATCATTGTCATATGACTTCTGTAGGCCAAGGATAAATGTTTACTCGCCATCCACGTACATTAAAAAAAAAAGTAAGACATTTTGACAGTTAGACAGTTATATTAATATATGAACAATAACATTAATGTTGCTCAATTACCCGTTTTACGCTTTTTACACTGAGCAGTTTAGCTCATTACCACGAAAATCTCAATATATCATCTCAGTCTATGTCTGTGTAGGTTCTCAACATCTCAATCTAGAAATCCTATTTTGTTGTGTGTATATGTAGCCCAATATATGACAATAAATGTGATTTTTCTTCTTCTTTGCATCAACTTCACGTGACACCCAGCCCTGTCTTAAGTAACGTGTGTTTTTCTCTTCCCTTCCATTTCCCTTTTTCAACTATTTTTTTTTAATTTTTTCTAGTCACTGTCCTTCTGTATTTCCACTGCACTTCCTTTATTTTTGTGCTCTCTGTCCCTGAGAAATCCTACACCTGCTGATGCTTCAATGGTGTCGTAACCACCCCAGAACAGTAGATGGCAGTAACGTACCGGAATCCCCCTGCCTGCACCATAGAGCCACAAAAAGAAAGAAGTTGTAGGTGGCACACAACATTTGTCCTAAATCAGGTTTGTTTTTAAGCTCAATAATTTTAATAATTAAGGCGTTCATCACTTTTTTAGTGCACATATTTACCTTTGTGTCCGAATATCGAATTTCTGTCATTATTAGCTCACATTTGATGTGGCTGCCGTCACGTGCTAATGTCGTGTGGTAACACGTTATTTGGATAACGCCTGTAGTTTTAATACTGTATTTTTTAAAAATATTTTAACGGATAAAATCTTCATGTCTGTAAGTTACATACTTCCAGTGTTTGTGTTCTCCTACAGAAATGTCGGTTTTTTGTGTTGACGCAAACTTCTGCCCTGACTGTGGGAACGTTCTTCCTCTACCTGGGGCGTCAGACACAGTCCGCTGTGCCCGCTGTTCTTCCTCTTTTCCGATAGCAGGTACAGATATTGCATACAGAATGAAAGAAAGAAAGAATCACAACACACATGTAGTCAGTATTTGACAAACTATTTCCAATAAATTAAGGAAGTTATTGTCAGTAGCCATGGCATTAGAGTTTTGCATATACTATACATAGCAGTAATACATTTGTATCGGCCTGTATTGGAATATGTGACTGACATTCACTACTGTTTCACAAGAACTATGTATTTCCAGCAGGACGTCGGGCTTCGTTTGCATGAATTACAAAAGAGCAGTTTATAAAGGTATTGGTGGAAAATTGGTAACTTGACTATCTCATCTAGGCTAACACGTTGGTAAGCTTGTAAACTAGGATGTACAAACATCAGAACAGTCTGACCTGTGCTTGGGAGCCATATTGGAGGGCAAAAGCTCCCCAATCCCACCCCAAGAAAACACAAAGCTCCCAAATCCCACCCCCAAAAAACACAAAAAAAAAACAACAACAAATGAAATAAAGCGAATGTAGCACAATCCAATGTAAACAAAGCGCGTGACGGTGTATTCCGTTTGAACACTGAACGTCGGAATATGTCAGTATGATAATCAGGTACTTTACCTATTCAGTAATTGATAACAGTAAATACATTTTGCTGATCTAACAGTTACTGTTAAATGTTATAATTGCACAAATTATTATTTTTTTTTCCTGCCTTTGTAGCCAGAGAGATCCACTCCACCGTCGTCTTTAACCCCGCGGAGCAGTCGACACTGGCTCTGGAGGACGTGGGGGACGCTGAACTGAAGGGACCTGTGGTAAAACAGACTAACCCCACATCATTCACAGCTGTGTGTGTGTGCGCGCGATAACAAATGGATGCTCAATTAACAAGTGCATTTTCTTCCAGATCGACAGACGCTGTTCCAGTTGCAACAAAGAGGGGATGATTTACCACACCAGGCAAATGAGATCAGCAGATGAGGGACAAACAGTTTTCTTCACTTGTATACACTGCAGGTAAACACACTTAAGCAAGAACTATAACTATGTGTCTGCGAAAATCCACTCTCAACATTCACCCTTTTTATTATCTTCATGTTTTAGGTATCAAGAGAAAGAAGACTCCTGAGAAGAAATGTTGGTCGTTTTTTTTGTTGCATTTTTTACATTTGGTTGTGTGTTAAGTTAATAGAAAATGTTGTGTGATATTAAAAATAACACAAAAAACAAGCTGTACAAACATGGGTAGGACAAAGAAAAGGTATGAACTATGAAGGTATTAAAGTGTTGCCTGCAAGGTAGGCTGAAATATGTCAAGGATGTTGATTATTTTCAGAAGAGAAGAGGTATGTGATACAAAGAGATGCTAATGCTACAATAAATACGTAATAACTTAAGTCTTATGAGGGTTTTCTCGCGTGACCTTGATGTAACACCTGCTGATAAAGTTCCCTTTATATGGGCAGCACAAACACTACATTTGAGTCCCTTTATCTGGGCAGCACAAACACTAACGTACATTCGAGAATCCCTTTATCTGGGCAGCACAAACACTACATTCGAGAAAAAAAAAGTGAGATAAAGTAGACCGGAGTCAATAAAAAAAGTCCCCCAATTCTGATGGGGCTTAAACAGATAACCCATGACTGAGAGAATGAATAAGTTACAAATAGGGATGTCTGATAATATCGGCCAACCGGTGTTAGCCTAATTGTGTAATATTTGTATGAAAGGTTATCGGTTTTTCCTCCGATAATGAAAACACCATAACAATTCCTGGGTTTCGTCAAATGACAAAAATAGTTTGGGGGATAAACGGCTGTATTCCAATATTGTTTAAAGCATTTATTTAAATGTTTTAATGTAATTAATACTCAATTACTCGGTTCCATTCGATTTTTTATTTTCAACTTAAGTTTTGGATTTAGGAATATAAAAATCGGTTAGTATAACAGGTAAATAAAACAAAAATTAAAACATAATAAACCAGTCATTTATGCATAAAAATCGTGAATGAGGGCAACTATAATTAGGCATAAAATGTGGAAGTTCTAACCTGACAAACCAAAGTAAATGTACCGCAGCTCCTCTGCGAAAGGCACAGATTACGTTTGTCGTTTTAAGTGTTTGCAAATAGGAATTTGATAACAGGTTTTCCCGGCAGTTGCGTCTAACAGTAAAGTGTCATTGTCAGTTTAAAGTCTTTAAACAAATAGATAAAACCGACTGGGATAGCGTCAAATAAGTAAGCTTAAATTTCAAATCAATGCATCGCACTACAGGAGACCTAAAGGGACCCCAGTGACGTCAGAGAGGCGCCTATCGACATGCCTGAGCGCTTCTAAGTTTGTGACAGTCATTTGCGCTTTTTCTGTAAAGAAAGTTTTTTCTTAATTAAATTGTGTATATGAGGTTGATAATTACATACAATATATTATATTTACATACACGTATTTATCAATATTGCTTTTTAACCATTTCTTATCATTATAATGATCAGAATCCGATGTTTTAGTAGCAGAAATAACAGCGTCTGAAGCAGCAGCAGTTGTAAACGCGACATGTCATAGTTGTGAATCTCTGTGTGTGTTTATTCAGAGACACAAATCAAAAATGTGTCTCTGTTGTCTGACAAGTTGAGACATAGAGGAGGTGAAGGTGTGGCAGCGTGCTCCTGAGTGGGAAGGCTCACTGTGTCATTCCAGTGTCACGGGAGAAACTTGGCGGAACATTTCCTGGCGTCTTCATCTTACGCTCCGTGTTCATGTGTGTTTTTCTGACACAGGAGGTGCGGGGACGTGACCGACCTAGCGAAAATAGCCCGGGGACAAGATTGAAACTGTCGGAGTGTCACAGGTTGGTAATCTGTACCACCGCATCCCAAGACGTATGTTCGACCACAGCATGGCTCTCTAGAACCGCAGAAACCTGCAGATTTCCCAGGAGAGACACCGACTGCTGAACGGTAAACATGAATTAACCTCTGGAGTAAAGCGCAATTGTAAGTTTAAATGTTTCTCTTTTCTTTTCCCAATGCACACATGTAGCGTATATGTGACTTTAAATTAACCGAAAGTGTGGTTTATCTGTGTAAAGAGAAACTTCAATCACGGTCACTTCCTGTTGAGCTGTTTTCTTTTCCATATTGAACAAACAAATGCCGTCTATTCGGGCGAACAATTAATTAACCAGCGTGGATTTTTTTTTTTTTTTAATATAACGAAAACGTTAAGCTGCAAATATACTGTATATATTTTTTCTAATTATTGCGGGGTTGTGGTTTTTAATGTAGACCTCCAAAAGCAAGTGAAAAGGACAGTTTTACTACAACTGGGCTATAAAATAAACACAAACGTACATAAATATATTTAAAATTGAACCAAACGTAGACGAACAATAGCGACATGTCTAAAGAAAATAAATGTGGTCAAGGAAGAAAACTAATATTTATTGTACGTAAAACTATCCTAATTTCTCTTTTATCTTTTTCTTTAAAAAAAAAAAAACCTATTATAAGATACTTTATTAATGGCGGGAATTTAAACAAAAGAACAGACATTGTCGTCAATTGACTACCGAAGCATCAATTAATCAGAACGACGATTAGCAGATTAATTATAGTCACATTATAGTTACCTACATTAATTGACCAAATTATCTTTTTAATAATTTTTAAAAAAAATGACCAAATTATCTTTTTAATATATTTTTTAAAATTTTTATAACCTTTTGTGGCGGAAATAGGACGTCATGTAAAAAAAAGTAATTTATTGAAAATGTATTTTCTTCACCAGTGGATTTATAACAGTATATTATGTTTCACGGTGTCTTTGACCCTAACAAACCTTTTGACTTTTTTTTTTTTTTTTGCAGCACTTTCTGCCATCCTCTTGCACAACGCCGTACAGGCATCATGCGTAGATTTAGTTCCGAGGGATGCCTTCTGGACATCGACTTCTTCCCGTGGAAGAAGGTAGCGTTGAAAAAGACCGGCGTAGACCAGCACCGACACTCTGGCACTTACACAATTAACTCAGAGAACGAGGACGTGCCCACAGGGTCGGCCGGTCTGATTCCTTATATCCAGAAGCCCTCAGAGGGTGCTGGACATAAAAAGGAACTGACCAAGGAGCACAGCGTCAGTTTGGAGGACATCTGTGACGCCGGGGTGCGAAACAATAATCTTCTCAGAGTGTGTGAACTCAACGAAGGCTGCAGGGCGTACAGTGACGGCCAGCTGGCTCCTCCCATCCAGAACAGACATGAGAGCTTGGAGAAGAACGACACGCCTTCCCCGTCTACGTCGTCCTCCTTTAACCTCTTCACCTCGTCCCTGAATCACGAGCATCCGCATAAGCACAAACTGTCAGCTGCTAAATTACACCTGAAAAGTCTGTTTGGGCAGGTAAGACACTCAGCCTTCGCTGTACTGCAGCAAACGGCTAGGATTCTTAGGAATACGAATGTGATATATATAATGTGATTTAAAAAAGTTAGGGCTAGCCTAAATTGTTATCGCAATTCTGTGAAATTAATCACGATCACCATATTTTCCCGGACTATAAGTCACACTTGTTTTCCCATCTTTTGGCTGGGTTTGCGACTTTTTCCACTTTTGTTATTTTTACACTCAAGAGTCGCTAGAGGGCACTCTAGGCTTGTGTACCAGTATCTGCTACTCCTGTAAGTCGCACTTTTTTTCCCCTTCCTATCCTTCGGCTGGTGCGGCTTATACTCCAATGCGACTTATAGTCTGGAAAATACAGTCATTATTTCAAAAGTAATGTGCATATTTTTTTCAGTATACTATATGAGCCCAGCACCACATTCATAACATTACAGCAGTCAGCTTCCGGGCAACAGAAAGCTAACATTTACAAATCTGTTTTATCTTTTGTTTCTGACCAAAGTTTAAGGTCCATTTCTCAAATTTTGGCAAAAAAAATGCAAAAAAAAAAAAATGGATTCCCTGAAATTTTTAACAATAGAATTAATTCTCATTGTCACATAACTAAATTCTTTATTTTCTTGCGCAGAGAAACACTATCTTGAAGGCAAATGTTCAGCAAAACGTGGTGAGCCACAATCTATTCTGTCTTGCAAAGTTAAAACACATGTAGATTTTTTTAAAACAAAAAAAATCTTAATAACTTATTAAGTTTGCTGCATTAAAACGCAGATAATCTTTCATTTCTAAATTTGTCTCATAAAATATGTTAGGTGAATTACAAATTCTATTTATAGTTTTTTTTATTTTTAGCTCCCGGAAAAAGTGCTTGTACAAGCTGTGCGACTTCTGCCTCTGGCGCCGCATGATTCAAATGTACAAAATATTTCTGATTCCTAATGGGCACGTCAGCATAAAAAGTTAGTGTTTGGTTTTTAAACTGATCGAACGATGTGCGGCGAAAGATGGCTTCAGCAGATAGGTGTTAGATTCACTGTTTGCGTCACTTTTCGGAGGGTTGAGGTACAATTAGGTTTTACATGGTATAAGAAAAACGTTTTTGTCTGCGCAACACTATGAGACGGACAGTTATTTGTTATGTTAGTACTCGACAGTTTTGCGAAAGATGCTAATATGAGATTGAATCAAACATGTCAAACAGTAATTTTTTTTTCTTTTCGTTTTTCTCTTTAGAGCCTTCATTCCTCCCACAGCAACCTATACACCGCACAAAAAGACAGGTTCGTTGCTTAGTTTTCGCTGCGTTTAGTTTTGCATCCCGTGAATCTGTAAATTCATCAACCACCTTTTTTTTTTTTTTTTTTTTTTTTTAAACACTGCAGTGCCAAAGAGCGACGGTCCCGCCTGCACTTCATGCATCAGTGGAGCCAGGTGGGCCACAGTAAGAGGAGCAAGTTCAGCCGAAAAGAGCTGGAGAATTGGGCCGAGTCTCTGAACACACTGTTGGCCAGTCAAAGTGAGTCATCCTTAAAATACGTTACAGGTTTACGTGATTGATTTTTTTTTTTTTTTTTAAGGTTTTATTTGAGTGGAAAGAAATTGCGTTACGTTCGCTGCGATGTAATTGATTCCGCCAACAATCTGAATTGAGTTCATGCTGGCTCAGTGGTTCTTGATTATTTTCTGTCACGCGCCCCCTTGGGGACAGAAATGTTTTCACACCCCCCCAACCCGATTTGAAATACTATTGTGAATCTAATAACATGTTTTATTGTATCTGTTATAAACCACTGTATGAGTTGCTGCCACCTAGTGACTGCATTACAGCAGTGGTACACTTACGTTCAGCTTTTTATATTCTATTGGAAGCCCCTTGTGCCCCACCCCACTATTTGAGAAGTACTATGCTAGCTCAACTACAACGACCCACAACTCTCCTATCTACAGACGTGTTTTCCGATTTTTCAAATTCTTCTCCAAAGTAAGTGAAAGGCCAATGTTTTCCCCCCCTCCTCACAGCTGGTGTTTCGGTGTTTGGAGCATTTCTGCGGTCTGAGTTCAGTGAGGAGAATCTTCAGTTTTATCTGGCCTGTGAGCAGTACAAACACTCATCCAACAACTTCAGCCTGCAGCGAAGGGCCAAAGACATCTGTGCCACCTACATTCAAGCAGGCGCCCCAAGAGAGGTACACTTTAGGGGCCACATTTTCCCTCTGCTTTTGTTTTTTTCCTATTATGCTTGTAACATTAATATAACAATGGTACTAGGGTTGAAAAATCGCAAAGAGACTGCCACCAGTTGGTAACCATGGCGTTATCTTTTTGTACATGTAGGTTAACCTGGACAGTAAGACCCGAGACCTGACCATTCAGCTGCTGCAGGCTCCGTCTCACACCTCTCTGTCGCACGCGCAGAAACGCATCTACTCCCTCCTGGACACGGACTGCTACCCTCGCTTCCTCCAGTCCAACGTTTACCTTTCTCTCCTGCAAAACGCCGACTAGGGAACGCACACACTGAGGACACAAAAACAGAGGTTCAGTGGTTTCCCCCGTGTGCGAGTCACGCGAGGACAAAATGAGACTGTTGTAAAAGTGAAACTTAAGAGATTATGTAGAGAGAAAAATGTAGTCGTCCAATCAGAAAAGGTTGTTAATATTGAGTCAGTCACTGGAAACGTGGTTTTCAAAACAAAGTGAACGAAACTTTTCAGGAAGAGTGTTGGCATTTTTACAATGTACAAAATGCAAAAAAATGTTCGACAAATTTTTTTTACATGCCAGGAATGTTGATCGAAGGCATGAGGATGGATCAGTGATGTCATCTTTCTATGCCAAGTTCTGACCCAATTTCAGGAGAAATGTCAGGAGAAATCAAAATTCATCAGTTAGAGATTTTTTTTTTCATTCCTATTTTGGTTAGACAGTGTGAATGATGAAGCCTATTTTTGTTTTGTTATTACATAGTTTTCAAGATCAAGATGACAATCGAGAGCTAAATTACATTGTGTTTCAGTTTAGATTTCTTTTTAACACAGGAAATAGAAATAAAAATAATAAGACTCACCTTATGACATTATTTGCCATTCTGTCATTTGGTTTAATGCGAAAAACAAAACAAAAGAAATCAATTTGGGCTTAATGGAAAAAATGTTGGCACTCAATGCAGGAAACTATCGTGAACGTGCAGGTGAAACCCATGTTAAGAAAAAGAACTGTAAAATGAACCAAATGTTGACGCAATAACTACATTTCAATTTGTTATGCCGCAAACGTTAGTTGTCCGTGAGTTGCCGTTAAACACCCGCTGTATGAAAGCACTTACAAATACCCACATTTCCCCAGTAGATGGCGTGATCTAATGCGACAATAAAGGTAAACATGTACGGTTACATGAGAGGTGTTTTGGCGATGTCACCGCCTAAAAACGGAGATGAACCCAATTCTAAATAGTGTTTTAGAACTCGACCGGCCCCGAAGTTAGGACTTTTTCTGTTTACCTTGTTTCGAAGAAAGTGCACGAGTAATTATTTATATGCCATTTTGATACAACGCAAGATTTGAAAATGTAAACAATAAATGGGTTTTTGATAAATTTATCATAACTTTTTGTCCGATGTTTGTCTTCTTTGACCTAAACCTATGACACGTGTTCCGTTCTCCACAGTGAAATCCACAGAAACGCTAACCTACAGAGAGTGAGAATAAAGTGCTTAAATGGCGTCGCGACCTTTCACCCAGATAACCACCGACTGATAACGAACACACATCACACCCTCAGTGTCAAGCTTTTGAAGGCACTCTGTGTTTGGAAAAAAAAAAAAAAAAACGCTTCTGTGCAATAGCTAATAACCTGTGCAAATATTTCTACAGCGCCCCCTATTACCCATACGCCTAAAGACCTCGAGACCCCTCCACGTGGACGTATTTTCCCTGAATTTCATTTAAAATACTGTCGCCGTATTTAAAAAAAAAAAGGTGCTATTCGACTTGAATAAAGTAATAGTTCGAAACATCCTGGACGGTCAGGAGGACACGCACCTCAGTTTGAGAACCATTAGCACCTTCTCCGTAAGAGATGATCATTCAAATATTTAAACAAGTCAGTGTTCTTCCGCCATCGTAAAGTGGTGTAGCACGTTGCTAATGGCATCAACAAATCCCTGAATTTGGCACGGAGGTCACGGAGGTCACCGATATAAAAATGTATGAGTTCAGTTTTAAAAACCAACGCCTCCTGATCACCACGGCCTCGTGCTCCTGAATTGTTGCTTCTGCTTCACCCACTGTGCAGTGAAGCAGTTCTTTCCCACAGTCCAGGACCGGCCCACGTCGCCGTCTCCCGTCAACGCCGCGCAACCCGGCGAGTGCTGCGAACTGTTTGAAACCTTTGAAGTTTCCCCGGAAACATCCGCGTTCACGTGGCTCGTTCTCGCATTCTCGAAGGAATTCAGGTCGGTGTCTTTTTTTGGCGATTGCAGCTGTGGCAACAAGGGAGGATGGAACCTGAAGAAAAAAAACAAAAAAGAAAAAAACAAACGACTGCAGACAACATACTGGTATGTTGGAGTTCTTTAAGATACTGCTTTTCAACCCAGGGGTCGGGACCCCACATGGGGTCGCCTGGAATTCAAGTAGGGTCCGATAACATTTCTGACCCAGGCGTGTCAAACTCATTTTGGGGAACATGGGCGACGTACAGCCTAATTGGAGATCAAGTGGGCCGGGCCGGTACAATCATAACATAATTAACTGTAAATGACAATAAGTCAAGTACAAGTATGTTAGATATTGATAATTATTTTGTATTTATATTTAATGAAATATTAAATATCATTAAAAAAAATATCCTTTTGTGTATTTTCAAAAACCATCAAACGGGCCGGATTTTAACCCAATTTTGGGCCAGTTTTGGCCCGCGGGCCGTATGTTTGACACACCTGGTCTAAATAATTGATAAAAAAAATGCTAATTTTTTTTTTTAACTAATTAGAATTTTTTTTAATTAACGCACCACATATGTATGTATTCGTCCAATTTCTCAAATTTCTTCAAATAAAATGCAATATATATAAAAATCTGAGCTGGCGCATCTTGAATGACAGCTACAGTTAAGTACTCGGGTGCAGTTGTGCAAATACCTGCCGTGCGCTGCGTGGTTACGGTTAGACCTGTGTTTGTCCGTGCATCCCAGCGATGGCTGCCTCTCCAGCACGCCCAGACCTAACGGACAGGAAGGTGAAATCAAATGAACAGTAGCAGAGTTAGAGGCAAATATATATATCGTCCAACACAAGGTCAAAAAAAAAAAAAAAACGTAAAAAAAGTACTTCCAATTAACTGCCCAGAACTGTTTATGTGTGGATAAGAAAAACTTGTCTGTAAATCCTAGCAGTAAAGTAAACAAGAAGTCTGGAAAAGATTGTGTATCAGATTCGAGATTACTCATTTTCAAATGTAACTACCAGGAAGTACAGTACACGCACTACTGAAATATGTTTATTGCTAAATTTACAGATGTATCCCATGGAAACATCTGAGTAGTACATGTCACGATCTAAAGGAGTATACACGGAGCTGCGGAGTTGTGAAACGAGCGTCCGCGCCGCCTCGGAGAACCACTTCTTCTGGGTCTGCGTGGTTGTGTAAACATCTGCACGGAACATAAACAGATAACTTTTTCAAGTGTTGTCCGTCGAGACGGGAGAGAGAGAGAGAGAGAGAGAGACAGACAGGGGTTAGTAAGACAGTAACTTCCACTTTTGGAAGTATCTGTAATGTCAACAATTTCCCTCAGGGGAATCAATAAAGTAATTCTGACTCGGATTCTGATTACGTTAGTGACTAAGGGAGTAAATGAGTGCGCGGGTACGGTAGAAAGTGCTTGGGAAAAATGTCAGACATCACAACACTTGTGTTCCAGACAATATGTCAGTGCGAAATCGCAGAAGCGTAAATCTTCACTCGATTTATCATGTCTGAAATCTATTTTTTTTCCGACGATCGTATTCTTTTCTATTCTTAATGTGTCAAACTCAAGGCCCGTCCAATACGGTTCCCTCTTTATACTATGTTTCAATTAGGTAATATTATATGATAGAAAAGCACGTGATCACACTCCATCGTTATGCAGATGATACACCACTTTATTTGTCCACTTATCCGGATGAAACAAAACAAGCATTTAAACCGAATGAACGTCTTAAAGACGAGAGCGAGTCAGGCAGCTGACTGTGGGCGAGCGAACTGACGACGAAGAATGGCAACTGATGCCCACTTAGCTTCAGTTTAGTACAGGCGTGGGCAAAATCTTTGACTCGCGGGCCACAAACGGTCCTAAAATTTGACGAGGGGCAGAATCAGCAGATAGACAGAGTGTTCGTGTGAACTAAGATAAATGACATGTAAAAGTCATGCATAAAGGCTAAAATGCTTTTATCGTTTTCAACGCCATCTATTGGGGAATGTGGGTATTGCAGGGAACAGGCAAACGTATAATGATATCATAAATAAATTATATAATTTGGAAACATTTGGTGGGCCGGATTAAAAAGGTCAACGGGCCACATCCGGCCCCCGGGCCTTAGGTTGCCGATGGCTGCTTTAAAAGTAGAAAATTGGAAAGACACTCTTACCTTGCGTCTCTCTGTCCAGTAGTCCAACAGCGCTGCTGTCCATGTGCCGACTGTACATGTTCCTCCTGGCAAGTAGACCATTTTTGCTACCAGAAAAATGGCTACGGCGTTTCGGAGGGGGATGAAAAGGAAACCGAAATACAAACGGTAGAGGCAAAAGGAGGAAAAAAAAGAAAAAAAAGAAAGATGGATGTCCAATTAGGATAACATAACGAATAAATAAAACAAAATGCAACAAAGGACATTCACAGAGTATGAACAAGACCTAATGTTGACGACACAAAGCTAAAAATGTGGAGGTGTAGTTAGCGTGAGCTACGGCACGGTTGGACCGATTGGATTACAAAAGGCACGGGGAATACAAGTTTTTGTAGCACGTGGTTTAATTGCTTCTTAAAAAAGGCAATCGCAAACAGATATATATGACAAGGGATGTGACGGCGAACGTAATTAATGAGTAATTGAGCATCTCTTTGTTTTCAAAGGCAAAAGAAAAATTGTCTGAACTGAGACGCCACAGTGACTGCGGGAAGAATCGGTGGCAAAGTTAATGGAAGTCCAGCTGAGATCTGTGAGGAGAACTGTGTAATGAGTGTAATGTATTAAGGCGGGAAAAATTAAATGGAATGGTTAAAGAAAACAGGAAAAAGGGGAGACAGGAAAAAACAGACGTTGGTTAGAGGGACAGCTACCGGTAAACGCCGAATACTGCTGAAGGTAGCCGCTAAATATGCAATATATGCTAACAGCTCTGTTTTTAAAAACATGCTAACTGCTAAGTCTGCTATTGTAAGGGCAAAACTCTGGCACAAGCAGCAGCAGCAGCGAGTTAGTTAGTTAGTTGTTGCTGCAAAGGTCAATGATTGACATC